AAACTTAATACATATTTAAGTATTGTTTCATTATAAATTATTTAAATTAATCCCAGTGTGTTAAGAAAATCAATCGAATAAAAAAAAACCTTGTTTTGATTTTCTTAACACGCTGGGATTAATTTAAATAATTTATAATGAATCAATCTGACTCGGCGCTCAAATTATTTCAGGAAGTTCGTAACACCTATGGTCTGGAAACCTATAATCTCATTTAAGTATTGGTTTGTAGGGATTTGGTTGATTGGTTACAGGATGTCATCATGAGCTGACATCAGTTAGAGAACCATTGGAAAACCTGGAAGTACTGCACAGCTGTTTCGTCCTAGTTTGGGACTCTTCAGCAGTACGCACCCATCGGGGTTCGAACCCAGGACCTGCTGGTTACAAGGTGAGCTAGCTCGTAGACTATTAAGCCACTGGGACCCGATCCAATGGCCTATGAATTCTAACTTCTGCCAATTCACGATATAGCGCAACCGCTAGCCCATGTCTTCGGCGAGTATTTGTTCCACACCCGACCTGCTGCACCCTTCTGGTCACGACTTCCCACTGGGACCCCAAGTAACTACCTACCTGAATAGGGCCAGTCGCCACTGAGCAACTCATTGGTATTCAAGTATTGATTTATATTTTGCTGCTATTAATCTTAACTGGAGCCAGCTGAAACTGTTCTTCTGTATTTAATTACTTTAAAAATTCGTTACAATATTGACATCTATTTTCCCACTATCTTTATAGTAGTGGTGAACTATGCCGAGAAAAACTGAGGGTGGGTTGGCTTTACATTATTTGAAGACTGGTACATGAATTTCTTTTGATTCTTGGTTAAGTGAATTACCTAACAGGATGAGGCTTCAAGTATGCACACATATCGTTTCATAATGCAGTAGGCATCTTTTTAGTAAGAACTTTTGGTATTATTCAAGTGTATGCTTAAATCTCAGCTGAGGTACTACTTAGTATCACTCCACATAAATTTAAAACAAGAAACAGAAAATGATTTCGACATGTAGCGAAAAGACAACAGAACTACAAAAAATTGTACAGAAAGCCATCATGGATGGAACGAAACTTTAAGAGTTTCATACCCACTCAGTATAAAATAACGAGACGAAAACGTGTCAAAGTCTTGTGACGAAATCATTATATTTGCAGCACTATCAAGTATGAGTGTAACAGTGATACGTCAAAATGTTTCCACAAATCCGAATATTTGTTTTTGAAAATATTGGTCGTATGAAAATGCACTAACCTGAGTGGTTTTTGGGCATGCTGGAGCGATGGTATTTAACAGTTGTACAACAGAGCTTCTAATTGCTGCAGATGTTACTGACATCACCATCAATGCATCAGGACATAGGATTAAGTCGGAAAACAGTTAGCAGTGTTCAACCCAAAACATAACAACAATCCCTGGAGTAATTTCCAAATTCTCATTTAAGCATTTAGAAAAAAAAACAGATTCAGCGAAGAAATATATTCCTTTTCAATTAGTCCCTCATCATCGGCTCTACACTAATAAATAGCTTTTTACATCAAAATTTTTTATCAATCAAGTGGTTATTTTAGTTGATCAGTTTCAGGTATAGGCGGGGGTGAAATCAAGAGGTTAAAAGTCATCAAAAAATAACTAATAGCTGTTAGTAACAAGATATCTACGTTCTAAAGGAGGGTGGAAATTAATTACGGAGATAAGTTGATTCTTAGGCGTTAACAACAAGTTATTACGTAATCAAAAATTTGTAAAATAGCAATGATGACTAGCAAGAATAGGATGACTCAGAGTTACGTAAGATACAAATAAGTTAGTAGAATTAGCTAGAACTGTAAAAATTTATACAGTCAAAAGATAGTTACTGGGGGAGGGGGAGATCGTTGTTAAAAACTTAATACGTATTATGTAGTTGGCCATGGCAAAGAAAGGGACTGCATAAATTTCTTTTGAACACATAGATTTGGCTTGTTCAGATGAATTCTGATTGCTTCTGCTGCATGTAAAAGTTGCACTCGAAGGCCATGCGAGAGGTTGATTGAAATACGATAAATAACTTTAAAAGCTTTTTTAGAGTCGTTTGTCTCTAGTATCGACGAGATAAACTAGTATTGAGCTGCGTATAGCTTTATTCGGACATTTGCCAAACCAAGACGGGAGATGTTCATAAATTTGACGATGAACTTGCATGATCGTACGCCCTACGTAACTAGCTCCGTACGGGCAGTTAAACTAGTGAATACACATGGAGGAGGCGAGCCATGGAGTTTATCTTAATTTCCTAAACTAAATATTGGTCAGCTAGTAAATACACAACATAGCTTAGCTGCACACAGCGTAGAACCGATGATGAGGAACCAATTGAAAAGGAGTATATTTCCTCGCCCAATCTATTGTTTTTTCTAAATCCCTGAAGTGTTTGAAAATTGGTTTGAGCAAATCATATTGCGAGGTGTAGACTGTTTGTTTTAGATCCTCGGGATGCTAAGATCCCATAACTGGAGACTATTAATTATATAGCTTGAGATCGTTCTCAATGACTCAGATACATTCACTCTACGTGATCTGCTATATCCATGAAGCTTTCGTGTTTCTCCATGTAAATATTTTCCCTGTAAATTTCTGCTCATCACAGTTCCTTTGATTGTTTTTTCTTCACCTTTGTAAGACATACGAAATGTGGTAACTTGGACTGTTGCACTTCTGTGCAAAGTTCTATGTTGGAACGGTCAGTCCGTCAGTCACCATCAGTAGATAATAAAACAAGAATGTGTTTGCGTCTTCTATGATCCAAATGAGGAAAACAGATTTTGTGTGCAGGGAAGAAAGGTAAGTTACTCTAAAAATGTCATGCGAGAATTTACAATGCAAAACTGATGTTTCTTTTTGGCTCTTTAAAACTTAATTCTTTTTCTGTCTTCTCAGTTGTCTGTAATACATTTTTGTGATTTTTATATTCTACTACAATGCATCCACTGTTTAGATTCAATTATTTTTATTTGATTTGAACTGGCTTTTTAGAGTGGTACAATTTATTAGTTTTAATCTATTGCAAAACGTTTTTTCTAATTGATAACACGAGACACTAAAGTGTTTTCATTTAATTTATCTAACAATTGGTGGATGGTGGCTAGCAGTGGAATCCAGGATGCGCATTTCGTCCTATTTGGGACTCGTCAGCTGGATGTACCTGCATTTCTCAGTGTGTGATGATTATCCCACCGAGGCTCGAACCCAGTACCCATAGTTTCGAACGCCAAAGCGTTATCCACTAGGGCCACGAGAGCCACCTCTTGTGCAACGGGTCATATTAATTATTGAATTGAATTTTTGACTTTCCCGTCGATTGATTGGACCGAAGTGCTCGGTCTCAAAAATTCAATTCAATAATTAATATGACCCGTTGCACAAGAGGTGGCTCTCGTTGCCCAAGTGGTCTAGTGGATAACGCTTTGGCGTTCGAAACTATGGGTACTGGGTTCGAGCCTCGGTGGGAACATCATTACTCACTGAGAAATGCAGGTACATCCAGCTGACGAGTCCCAAATAGGACGAAATGCGCATCCTGGATTCCACTGCTAGCCACCATCCACCAATTGTATACTAATTAAATACCCAGAAATCGTCGAAGCATCTGCACAAGAAGCCGACATGTCAACCTGAGACCGAGCACTTCGGTCCAATCAATCGACGGGAAAATCAAAAATTCAATTCAATAATCTATCTAACTTTCAAATCCCGTACTTTTTCGTGCAGTTTTATACAGTTTTGTACTTACTTCTAGATTTGCATCACCATATATATAATCAAGTATACAGAGTATTCAACTAAGGATTTCTAGTATATCCTTATTATTCAGCCTTATTAATTTATTTTTCTATGCATCATTCGAAATATAGGGGATATGGATGAGGATGTCAAAGCTAGGCAGGATTGGAAAACCACAACAGATCTTCCTTAATCTGAAATCAGTCTGAAGGCTTACTGTACTGGGCATAAGAACATGATTTAGACTTCCAACACTATTGTCAAGTCACTTTTTCTATATGGTTCAGATACCTGGAGTGTCTCCGAAAGCACTTCTAACAGGCTTCAAACTTTTATCAACTGCTACCTTAGCTCTATACTGAAGACCAGAAAGGAATAGCAACAAGGAACTTTGTCAGTCAACGGACCAACTAAGAACCTTCTACCCGATAAATATATAGAATGAAATAAGGATGGATCAGACATATATATGGAAGAGACTATCAAGTGACATCACGCACCATGACAGCCCTCGAGTGGAACCCAAATGGAAAAACGACAAGTTGAGCATGGGACCGAGGGTGACATGGAGGAGATCATGTGAGGAGGAAAAAGCTAATAGGCAAACGTGAAGCCAGCTAAAGAGGATTGCAAAGAACAGGGTGAGATAGCGGTGTTGCTGAAGCTCTGCGTCCTGCTCGTAATCTAAGGAAATAAATAGCAATTTATTATTAACTTATTGGTTATTGAGTGTTAGAATATACAAATCGCTGATACGTTGACTAGCTCCAGTTTGCCACTAGTGCCAAAAATGCATAGAAATTTATGAAAAAGACAAAAGAATTCGTTTGTTCGATTCTGTATATAAAATGTTTTTATTTTTCTATCATAAACTCTTGTTCTCTGTTTTAGTGAATTGCTTTCCTCTTTTGAAAAAAATGAACAAAAACTATTAACAACAGAAAGGAATGTAGGTAAAGGGACAAGGGATAAAAAGTGTACAGAATGGGAAAAAGAAGCTGAAAAAATCGAACAACTCAGCAAAATGAAAAAATAGGTATAAAAGGTTGAGCATAGAAAGGAATGATAAGATAAAGATGAATATATGCACGCATATATATTTATATAACATAAATAAAAATCTCAGTAGGATAAAAGATCTAAAAAAAGAATAAATCTCTCGTTGATAAAAAATAGTTTATCTTGTATGTTTACGCACACGCTCTTTGTATCTATGTCTTAGGCTTAAGATTTCGCTTCATTCAGACATCTCGGAATCCAGTGTACACACAGTGGTAGTAACATCAGTACACTCGTAGTTTGCCAAGATATCTTCATTATGAATGCTGTTAGCGTTATTGTTATTGTCAACATGAGTTGGGTTGTTTGACTTCTCCAGAATATAAGTCCAGGGAGTTATAGCGGATGACTCTTCAAATATTTTCTTATAATTAACAGAATTGGATGATGAGTCAACAGAAGCAGAGTGATCTGTTGTAGTGACTTCACATAACTAAAAGGAAATAATTTGAAGAATGAACATATGTTAACTGTTAATACATATTACAAATGAAAGCAGGCTAACGGTGTCAATAGTTCTCCTTTACGCTTCATTAGAATCCTTGCATATATACAATATGGTTTAAATATATAAGGGAAAAAACACAGTCTCAAGATATTTGGACAGCTGAATGTAAATAATACTCTGCCTACACCTGCCTGTACCAACGTATACCCCAGAAGTGAAAAAAATTATACGTATAACCACGTCTACTACTTTAGGTTCTGGGGAAAAGTCGTATCAGTTTTGATGAATCAGTGAATGATAAGCATTTTTAACTCAAAGGATATTTGGCGCAGACGAGATATTTTAATGTCGGAGCAAAAATGTTTAGTAGCGCCTTGTCTGACTTACAGCCGTCGAGTTGGCCTTAAAATTATTCAGTATTAGGCGTAAAATGTTTGTTACGGGTAGGTAAACTGCGCATTTGTGACTTTTGCATTCTCACTTTGGTTGAAGAGTTACACGTACGAAATCCCTCATTTACTCCGATTCACCATGTTAAGTTGAATAACATAGAAGTAATTACAGGTTGGTTAGTATTTACGCACTGTCTAAACCGACTTATATGCGTCTATCTACTTTTCACAGAAATGCTTGTGACACCATCTTATAGTTGATTAAGAGCTCCTGGTTTAGATTTCAGAAAAATGGTGATTTCATCCTAATGAGTTAAACTACAACAATAGGACACTTGTTAAGTTGTTTGATGGAGTAGAAGAATCGCAACACGTGTAACAACAGAAGACAAGGGCCAGGGAACAGATCGTTTATTAAGGAGATCAACACGTATTTATATATTTTCATGTACATTATTATAGCTTATTCAAGCAAACAAACAGTCTTCTAACTGATTGTTTCCCACAGAAAGTTGACCTTACACCTCTTTGTGACTGTTTCTTGAATGTCACGTCATCTATATGTTAACTGCATCTGCCTAAGCAAAGTCTGCTGTGATTGGTTGTTGAACCAGTCTTGTTCATATTTTCTCACGACCAATATTTCCGACATACACATTGACGTAAAATACTGTCTACCACTTTTGGCTAGCAGCCACCTCTCACCAGACACGAACAAAAATGGTTAGCAACACAAACAACAGGAAATAACTAGCCATCGATCTTCGACAACCCAGATTGTGTACAGAAACTTGTATATTTTTCGGAAGCAGATAAATTAAGCGTGCGGAAAGCCATCTGTCAGTTCGTGTTGCTGGCTATAAAGTCCTCAAAAGCCTAATCACATATCATTCAATGGAACATGGTCATATGATTGTTGTCAATAAAAGTCTTGAAATAGAAAACAAGCGTTTAAGTTTGATGAAGCCTGCGCCACTCTACCAGAAAGCCGGGAACTTGTGTGAACAGATAGAAACAACAACTAGTCCCTTGGTGGTATACTGTCTACGAGCCCATCATTCACCCTTGTTCTAATTATTACTTGAGTGTGCTGCTCCGTATCATTTTTTGTCAAAAATTTAAGTTGTAATAAATTCTTGTTTATGGATATTTAAGAAAAGTATTTCTTTAATTTCTTTAAATAAACACTATATTACTATTGGATTCAGATATTTCAGATTGATAAGAATTTTCTTTTAATGTCAACATTTTTGAAGTGTAGATGGTCATAATTTCTCATCACTTCTACCATAACAAGTCGAATCTATGCATTTATGAGGATTTTATCACACTAACTTCTTATCCCTGATACACTTGTTTGTGATAGGAATAATTATGTTTGTTGGGTATTTAGCAGGTAAGTCCTACCGAAATTCATAAACTCAAAAAATACACCTTTCAGATAGCTATAGCTCGTTCTAGAACCCTATTGTAATACAACATACAATATAAAAACACTAGGAATTTAAACTTTTTAATAACCTCGCTTCCTTTACGTTCTGACTAAATAAATAGGGTTTCTAGCGTAAACCTTAAAGTAGCACTGGTATTACTGGTTTTTACGGGATGGGGTTGCTACTAACCTCACGCCAAACGTTCCTTCTTTCTCAGGCTTATATACTGTCAGCTAAGGGAGACTTACGAGTGCTTGTCGACCGGAGATAGAACCTGGACCAACTAGGTGCATGGTTAGCGAGCATTCTGCCGCTGAACTACCACCACCACCGAAACACATAAATATTGTAAATTTCCATTTTACTTCAATAAAGTTATTCCGCATTCATTAATGACACAACAGAAAAGAAAAAAACCTTTTCTTTTTACTTTTATTTTCTTGGGAAACAGAAATAAATATTGCTTAATAGAATGACTAGATTTTGCTGATAACCATATTACACCTCAATTCGATATGGATATCTGCCTACACTATCTGTCTTGCTGTTGTTTGTTCGAGCTACATTATCGGGGACAGATTTTTCATATATTAGTGACTAAGAGCCATACTTATCGTATGGGGATAGATGATACGACTCAGTTGTGTCTCCAGGTTAAGGTAGGCAGGGCAGAACTCGAACTCCACGACCCATTGGCTGAAAACTGATAAAATAAAAAACTTAACCAGACAAATTTTACTTTAAAACCCATGCAAGTACACACATTGAAACTCAACTTACCCCAAATTCTTCAAATAATTCGGACTGTGGTATATCTGTAACAGATTTCCATGATGATGTTATTATTCTATCCTTGTTTAAATGATTGATAACCGCTACACTATCTAAAGGATTTGCTACAAAGTCAAAGTGTTCATCATGTAACGCTTTCAATTTTTCTTCAATGTAATAATCATCCAGCTGAGTTGTTTCATAATTTATAACAGATAAACGTCTAGCTGCTGTCATTTGTAGTAATTCATAGAAATTATATTTACTATTATTACCATTATCATCATCATTATCAGTGTTTTCATGATAATCAGTGGAATTTTCTCTTGATATCCGTGCTGATGAAGTTGACAGGGATTGTGAATACTTTATACTGCCTTCAGGTGGTGTGATGACCGACACAGTTAGATCTTGTAAACCCACAGAATTAGGACAGTAATGATGATAATAATAAGATGGATGATCTATTTCATCACCAACGGTTGATCACTATTATCATTGTTGCTTCTTGCTGTATACAGAGCATTAAAAAATATCTGTGTAATCAATGAATTGTCTATTCTTACAGTATCGTCACAATTATTATTCCGTAATAGTATTGAGTAAACAACCGGCAGTGTGGCGTTCAATGCTTCTTCAATGATAGTTCTGTTTACATAGAAATAACAATCTGTTTCTTGGTAATTACAACATTCGATAACTTCATTTGAAGACAAATATCTTAGAAAGGAAAAAGGTTATAGTGAAAACTTTAAACATACTATAGACAACGAAGGAGAGACAAATTACAAAACACACGCATACACATGTTTCTATAGAAGTGATACTATTTTTTTAATTTTAAATTACAGCTTGATGCCACACCGTATTTTCGGTACAAGTATGGAATTTTCTGCATGTGATATCGGTAGCCCGAATTTTGCTGGCCGACTATAGATATCAGGTGTGCGTCGACAGGGGATCGAACTCCGGGCCATGTGCGTGATCGGCGAGAGTTCTAACCACTGTGCCACCGACGCACTAACTACTTTTTAAAATGTACACCATTAAAAAAAAATTTGAAGGCAAGAAAGATGGATAGGACACACGAGGAGGAAACCGTTGGATGATCCCACGTGCCCGTCAGGCTTTCATGTTGAAACTCAACAGGAAACGATGAGTTGGGCGTAAGAGTGACATGGAGATCCTGCGAGTAATAATGGGCAATCGAGACGCAAGCTAGAGAGAATAGTGTGAAATAAACGTGTGCTGCTGAATCTCTACATTCTACTCGGAACCCAAGGGAATGATAATTATAATATTATGAATAAGAATAACAATCGATCAATGAGGAGTAATGGTGACTTAATAATCACTAATCGCTTTTTTATCTTTAATTGTAACCCAGTAGAAAAGTGTACCGCCACCAGCCTAAAACTAGTTAACTGCTAAAAGGAAGAAAAAAATAAATAACAACAGCTCATACGGCAATGGATGGTCAGAGTAAATTGAATGCGTGCATCACGTCCAGTGATCTACCAGTATTAGTAAGCTACAAGATATATAAGCGCTAAACATGCCATCACGTCATGGGTAATCCCAAGGTGTCATATGAATGAGTGGCAGGTGTGACTGTATTCTCAAAGTTGAATAATGAAAGCAATACTAATAATACATTCAAGAATAATTCTGGCCAGGGTAGCATGAGGATTTTTGGCGGTTGGGAGGGGCGGCCAACAGTTATATGCGATATATCTCCGGCCAATACGTTGACTGGTCACAAAATCTCTCGATGGAATCCATTCAAAATTGGTTACTTCCTTCTATTCATTTGTTGCTGATCTCCATCCCTGTGTAGTGACTGCCAAAAAGTTATATTATTGTTTTCCAACGTTTATAAACTAACATTATACGATATTCTACTGTCATTCATCTATACATGCAGCAGAAACAGTAGATTTCATACGAAGCAGACTGTTGCGCAATGGTTGTGCGAAAGCTTTAACTAATTATAATCAAAATCATAATAAACGAAGCAATCACAAGTGATTGTAACAAGACTGAGTTAGGATAGGCAGAATCAAATAAATCAATTAGGTTTGTGAATATTTGTTTAGGTGAATTTTCCTTTTCTTGTTGATTGATTAGACCGAAACGTTCGGCTTTTGTTGACATCTCTGCTTGTAGAAAGGACGTCTCGAGAAAGACACGATGTTATTTGATGGATAATGACCACCAGAGGAATTCAGGATGCGGTTCGGCATTCAAAACTATGGATACGAGGTTGCAGTATCAGTGGGAAGAGCATCAATCATTGGGGATTGCAGGCACGTCCAGCTGACAAGTCCTAGACAGGACGAAGTGGACATACGGGATTCCACTGCTAATCGCTATCCTACAAACAGACTGGTGAATGTTTACTTCGATTCTATAATTATCTAAGTAACAATAAGCCCAAATATCATATCACACTATAAGTCAGTCATGTATTGTATTACGTATGTGTGTGTGATGTATTGTGTCAATATTACATTCACTGACAAATGAATAATTATTCATAAAAAGTTCGTTTGTATACGTCATTCTGCTTAGTGAATAAATGATCCATGACTTCTATGAAAAATTAAACTTCAATACTCACCGATGAGACCTAAGGAGAACGATTCTACGTCTAAGATCTATACACGCCATGTTGGTTAATGCGTTAGATTTGCTTAAGACTGTCCTTATTATCAGTGCTAATACAAAATCAATATGTGGTGAATGCAGTTTGGTTACCTTGATAATCTCTAAATTAGTTCAGTTCATCAATACATGACTCACAAATTTCCACTTTTGAAATTCATCTTATCAGTTTCCCCGGTTAATATTACAAAATGCACATGAAGCAACATGGCTTATATCCCAGCACATTAGAACGCATGTGTGTAACACATTATTTTTGTTGCGCCCTTAGTTTCCGAGTGGGAGATGGGGCTTCAACAGTACATATCTATTTCTCCCTGTTCTTTGCAGTCCTATTTAACCGGCTCCACGATAGCCTATAAACTTGCATTCTCTCTGGCAATATCCTTGGTGTCATCTTCGGTAAAATGTTCAACTTGTCGCTTTCAAGAGGGTTCCACTGGATGGCCTAGTGTGTGATGTCAGGCAACAGTCTCCTCAGCGTGTCTCATCCATCTCCATTTTCTCCCACATAGTTGTTGGGTAACAGGTCCTTGGTCGGTTCTTTACCAGTTCCCTGTAGTTGCAGCATATAGCTGAATTAAATTTAACTTTTTTCTCATTATTTCATCTATGAGCATACTCAATTTTTCTTCATCTTAGTAAGTGAAAAAAGCCTTAAAATTACAAGTTTATATTCACAAACAACTTACTCAGGTGAATTCATGAAAGGTAAATAATCTCCGCAAATTGTATCATTATTACCCTTATCATTGTCATTATTATCGTTATTGCTGTGAGCACTTTGAATTGTATCAAAGAGATTTAGGCATGGATCCATGGTATCTTCCAACATGAATTTTTCATTGAAATCATCCGGCTTAAATCTACACGGTTGATCTGTCCAACGAATATTATTATAGGATACTTTTGAATGCCATGATAGTGGAATAGATTGTGATGAATATAAAGAAGACATATTCGATAATTCCGTGAAAAATGATCTAGAAAATTCATGAGTTTCTTCAGATAAACGATTCATAGCTGTGTTTATTCGAAGTGAGGTGAAATAAAGAAAATAAGAGAGATAAAAAGAATGATAATCACTATTTCCTTTCCATATTAGTTTGTTTATTAGATATATCACACAGTGAAACAGTATTATTTATTGGATGAAGTTTCGAACAGAATTTATTGTTCATAATCATATCAATTATAATCATACGACTTCGAAACTTCAGTTTTATAGTTTTCTTTGTCTTCTCCTATTTGTCGTAAGGGTAGTAGAATTTTCCAGATATCTGGCTGGACAGGTGTTGAATCCTACTACACGTGTTTGCAGTTGATTCGATAAACAAGGCTTCCGTTATTAATCTCTCCCTCCACCCTGTGACATTAGATTTTAAAACTGTCATCCTATCCCATCCTATTGTGTGGCTGTGTGTAACTGCATGTAGTGCTATAGCTGAACCATTCGCTATATTTCTTATCTTATTTGGGTCAACCAATCTAGATTTTGCTAAGTTTTTATGTTCAGCTAGTCTGGCTGCTCCTGTTCTACTGGTTTCACCTATGTATTTGACCTGACAATCATTGCAAGCAGGGTATTAGATAAACTAAATTGTTTTGTTTTAAAGGCTCCACGGGATGCTTTAACCGACAAAGCTTGTTTCTAATTGAGTTTGTGGGTTTGAATGCTACTTTTATTCCTGCCTTGTTAAGAATTCTGCGTAAGGTCTCCGAGGTTCCTTCTTTGTATGGAAGTACTACTGATGATTTAGATTCCTTATTGTTGGTGTTTTCATTATCCTGCACATGTTTGACATGCATGTCTCCATTAATATTACTACTATTATTCTTAATATCACTATCACTACTATCATTATTTATTTTATTTTTACATTTCCCTACATGCTTTCTGACTAATTTATCAAGGCATCTTTTATGTATCACTTCCTGTCTTAAATTTTCCTTGGTACTACTTAGTTTTTGTGCTCTGTCACTTAAACATTTCACCAATTTTAATTTTACTGACATAGGATGGGATGGTCGGAAGTCCAAATATCTGTCTGAATATGTGGGTTTCCTGTAAACACTAGTATTTAACTTCTCATCTTCTTTCCTTTTAACACTACAATCCAACATTGGAAGCTCCCCTTCCTAACTTTCCAATTCATAAGTGAATTGGATTGCTTCTACCTTCCAGTTGATGTGTTTGAAAAATCTAACTATATCTTGTGTTCTGAGTACAGTGAATGTGTCATCTACATACCTCCACCATACTTTTAAGGTGGGGTCGAACGTCTCAATCGCTATGTTTTCCCACTTATCCATGAATATATCTGCCACAATCGGGGATATTGCTGATCCCGTGGCAACTCCTTCAGTTTGTTCGCACATTTTCCCCTGGAATTTAAATACTGTGGAAGTCAGGCATAGCTACACTCCCAGCATTATATCCTCAAATGGCACTTTTGTTCTAAGTTCAAGTTCTTGGTCAGAAAAGAGTTCGTTTCTGACTGTCTCTATAACCATATTTATGGATATACGTGTATAGGACTGAGAATGTCAGAACTAACCATTTTTTCTTCGTTATCTTATTTTAAATCATCTAATTTATGTTTTAGTTCATAAATTTTGAGGGTATCAGAAAAGGGACTAAATTTCAATGTAGTGGTAGACAAGCTGAAACCTGAGGATCTCATCGCTAAAATGGAATTAGCACTAAGTGTGACAGACAAAACAACGGCCGATGAAGTACGGGCACAATGTGCACTAATATTACAACGACAAAAACGAGAAAAACCTAACCTGGCAAAACTAGAGATGGTAACCCTAAAAGAACTTAAGAATATCAAGGCTATAGTAATCACAAAGGAAATGGAACAATAATATTAGACAAATCAAACTATTTGGACAAGGTGAATACTCATATGCGAACGGCACCATGTGCGAAAATTAATAAATCAATAGACACTGTTATGAATAAGATTAAGAAATCCACAGGAGACTGGGCGCAGACACCCATCATCAAAGACAACCAGTCGGCGTTTTCATCTTCCACTTTCAGTGGCTATGTCTCACTCACAGCCATAAAGGAGAACAGAGCGAACTGATGAGCGGTGCACACCTTTCTGGTCGACAGTCGGATGTCACGTCTAATAAATCACAGATGGCTTAAGTTGGTGTATGCTAGTATACATACTTTTGTATTAAGACACCCGCAATTCCAACTAAAAACATATATTCAACTATATCATGATATTCTCACACGTTAGCTGTGTTAGGATTCCAAATGATTTCATACGAATCTATACTATTTGATGAATTACTGAAAATAAAAAGGCATGATACAGTTATTCTGTTTCAAACTCTTCAACAGTACTTACACACGACTATATCTTTACACGCAGAATACGCTATCACTTGATGCAACATATAGTGGTCGTATCACCCTTTTCATCCTCACAGCTTTATTCTTGGTCGGGGAACACTGTTCTAGGACTTAGAAACCACAATGAAACAGTAATATAATGCTGATTAATTTTTGCAATAATTATTTAGTTGATATCATTTCATAATAAAATTAACTTTCGAAAATTCCAATTTTGATGTACAACATAAACGTTTGTTGAATACAAGTCACAGCAGCACAAAACAAGAAGGATACGGACACTATTAGTTTGAAGTCAGTTGGAACTTTCAGCTACCAGAATAATTAACTGTGGCTTGCATAAATATTTTTAAAGTTACTGTGGACACTTTGAATTGTTGCTATTAGATGGTTGGAGGCAATCGGCAAGAAGCCTTGAATCTAGGTTTCGTGCTAGTTGGCGCTCACCAGTCAACAAGGTGTATCTGAAACCTTGAAGGAACTCGTATCCCTTCTGAGATTAGAACCTGCGTCCCCAATGCTGCAGTCAGAAACGTTATCACTGAGCTATTCGGACTCGCGATTGACCTCCTGCAGGACTGTATTAGATACTTTAATAAGTGAAGAAAAAGATACCTTATATGGTGTCAAAGAAAACTAGATTAGAAATAATAGTATTCTTGGTGATTTATTTTCACTAGACAGACAAATTTTCAGCAGGCTCTACTAATACTACTACCCACTGAAAATTCTTTAACAAAACAATACATGTAATATGTAAATTATATAGTTTAGACTGAAAATTCAGTTGTAAAAATTTTGCAAAAACCTTGCAGAAATCCACTTCAAAGTCGATTTAATCGTTAAACAATGAATTCAAAAAGAAGTTACCTTCATCAGAACCAATAGGAAATGAAGTATCTGAGAATACTCGTGTCTGATTCCAACATGTGTGCAAATCTGTGACAGAATCATCCATACAGGCCATACCGACGGATTATAAAGGTCATTGCTAAACCGATGCATGCCATTTGACTGAATAATATACGTCTCAGTATTTTCAGGCCATTCAAAACATTCATCAACAACTGGTTGAGAATTATCAAATGAGGCAGCGAGTAGAGTTGAAGTAGAGGCTGAAAATTCAAAATAAAACAAATAAGGTAATTTGTGGTTATTTGAAATCTCAGTGGTTTGCATACAACTACGGGTAGAGATAACATCCAGGAGAGGAAAATATCTTTTCCCACTTCTCAATAGCAGTACATATTTCACATTATTTTAATATAATACAAACTTGGTACATTATGGACACCAAGGCCTGGAATACTGCTCAGACGGACAGACCAAAGCACGTGATTGACATAAGAGACCACCGCCCGAACCTTAGACTCGAAGTCAGATCCACAAGGCAGTGGACCAGCGTCAGGAGCTACGTTCTCATGAATTCTGGTGACCAAAACATGTTGACACACCATTCTATCCTTTCCAAGTCTGCCTCTCATGCCTCCAAAGCCTCAGGATGGTCGAGGGTGGGTGCCTTGCGCTGCGGATTGGCCACCCCTCCGTACACCTCTTGAGATGCTCCCATATGACCGGGCGTCTTACATAGCCTCTCCTGAGGAAGTCCTGCTCACTGCCTTCACGTGGCGGAGGTGTTTTTCACCGAAGTGAGAGGGCAAAAGCGGATGCCCGGCGCTCTCCACCGGGTTGACTGTCCATTGGATGACAGTCTAGGGGAGATGGCTGAACCCTGATTCCAAACCTCCAACGACTGGCGTATGAAGCTCACCGGTAGACGTATGGACAAAGGGCTTATTGGATGCCCTGGATGTCTAGCCCCATTCAAAAAGGCGTATGAACCGGACTCCGGTCACCGGCTGACAATGGATAGTGGACTCCCTACTCCACTCCTACTGCCTTGTAGGTCACACTTGGTTGTGTAAAAGCTAGAGCTGCACTCTCAAACAAAAGGCCGAGCGATGCTGGGGACATCACTCGTACCTAATTCCTATGAAACTTCATGAACTCTCTACAACATCAACCAAATTCCAGTACTGGTCCAACAACGTCGCCTTCGGTGGTTTGGCCATGTTCTGCGCCGACCAGATGACGATCTGGTCAAATCAGTTCTAAGTCCCTCGCCATTTCCATCTTGGCGATGTCGCAGGGGTGGACAGCTGAAAACATGGCTTGGTACAGTCAAGGCTGATATGGAGTGCCTGGGGCTACAAACCGTCTACGGACTCCGTCTGTGGAACAAGAATTGGATAACCCTGTCGCAAAATCTTGCATCAGATCGCCGCGCCTGGGCAGCGATGATTCGAGCTGTTCATGAAGCCGGCTCATCCTCCCGTAGGAGATAGCCAAAGTAAAGTAAGTAAAGTAGACCGGTAGTTTGGAATCAGGGTTTCCCATCTCTCCTAGGTAGATTGGCATGTCCACCAGTGGAGACAAAAGCGATAGGTATTTGAATTCGCCCTTTCACTTTTATGAGGAACACATGCGAGACGTGAAGACAGTAAACAGGATTTAATTGACAGAGGCTAGGAACGCGTGCTCACATGAGGGCCTTTCGGGAGGAAGACCATTGAAAATAATCGAAATGTTCAGGTTGATTCTACACAACTACATATTAAAGTATTTTGTTGAGAAACATAGCAGTTTTGATGCTAACTACCCTTTTAAGCATTAGAACAGTGGAGAGTAAACTGTTCGGAACTGTTGGAGCCCATAGACTCAGAGTACCAAAACAAAGACCAGTTTTAGTGAAATGTACTATCCATTTATTCATGTTTCACTTTTTCTACGCTTAACCACAAATAATTAATTTCATTCTGTTCTTCCTTGGACTAACTTTTTTAAAACAATACTTTATTAACAAGGTAAGTTTATGCATTGCGTAGTAAGTTATTACCCACTGCACTGAGTGAGGACTAATGGTGTGGTGGTGTGATACGGACAAATGGGTTCGAACTGAATATTATTCTCACAGTAAGAATCATTTTGTTTGTTAGTGTTAACGTCTGAATACTATTCCCCCAGTTCAGTACTACATTAGCAACAGAATACTATAAGTATTTGAAAATTCTATTTTATGTCGTTTAATGTAAACCAAAATCACACGCTCAGTGATTGTTTGAATATAAATTGTATAGATATAAATAGCTGTTTGATAAATTGAAAATATAACTTGGCTTCCGTGTCTTGCCTTCTACTGTTACAACAGTACCTATTAGGTTACTCAATTAATTAGGCGATTATTTGCACATCGACAACTCAGTCGTTTATGTGGTGGTCAGAGTTTTATTGCTAATATTGCGAACGGATTTAAACTATATCGACAAGAGTCTTCATTGGCTGATTCTTAATATTCCAAGGAGTTCAGTTGTTTATATATAAGAAAGTAGGAACCAGTGATTGAGGAGATATACAGTGACATAATACGACGTCTTAAAACATCGGTCAGCAGGGATTTCATTGGTTTCCAGTTGGACCAAGGATTGATATCAGTTAGGGAACACCTAAAAACCAGGAAGTACAGGACAGGAACTTCATGTTATAAGAAGCAGGCCACTAGGGTGGAGTCGAATGGTTCATGAATTCTAACTTCTGTAGGTTCGCAATAGTTAGTATTACTGCAAGTCAATGTCATCAGCGAGTATTTGCGTACACACTTAACTTAGTGGGGTACACTAGTAACTACTTGGCAGGCAACTCTTACCTGTAGTCAGTCGCTGGTCAGCGTTATATTAATTTTCAAGTATTGGCTTGATACTATGACGTCATTTTTAGCGGTTTAAAAACATCAATTTACTTTTTAACAATTAGCACCTATTTTTTCTCCTCTGTATAATTACATGTAATACCGCATTTCAACAGTTAAGTAATATCAATAATCCTCAGACTATAAATATGTCATAGACGATCTGGTATGTGAATATGCAACTCGACTTATAAGACACAAAAGATTTGGGAACACAGGCTAACACACTTCATGGAATAATAGAATGGTTACTTATGATGCAATTTAAAAATCAATACACAAAAAACTTACACTTTTGATTGATAGTACCATTAGTTCCCTGTAGAATTACAGATGGTTCAACCCTATTGGAAATAAGGGGGAATAACGTAAAAATTTATCATATACATGATATCTGAATGTGTATTACACAACATTCACTGGTAGACAGTATTTTTATACCACAAACATTAAAGAGCTGTAAACTTAACAATTAGTGTCCCTTAGGCGTCGTCACAAAGAATGTGTGATATCTTCTTTCTTCTTCTTTCTTTAGTTCGGCTATCTCCTACGGGAGGATGAACCGGCTTCATGAACATCTCGAATGTTTGTAAGAGAGTTGATGAAGTTTCATGGGAATTGGGTACGAGTGATGTCCCCAGCATCGCTCGGCCTTTTGTTTGAGAGTGCAGCTCTAGCCTTTACACAGCCAAGTGTGACCTACAAGGCAGTAGGAGTGGAGTAGGGAGTCCACTATCCATTGGCAGCCGGTGACCGGTTCATACGCCTTTTTGAATGGGGCCAGACATCCAATAAGCTCTTTGTCCATACGTCTGCCGGTGAACTCCGGTGAGCTTCATACGCCAGTCGTTGGAGGTTTGGAATCAGGGTTTAGCCATCTCCCCTAGACTGTCATCCAATGGACAGTCAACCCGGTGAAGAGCGCCGGGCATCCGCTTTTGCCCTCTCACTTCGGTGAAAAACACCTCCGCCACGTGAAGGCAGTGAGTAGGACTTCCTCAGGAGAGGCTATGTAAGACGCACGGTCATATGGGAGCATTTGAAGAGGTGTACGGAGGGGTGGCTAGCCCGCAGCGCAAGACACCCACCCCCGACCATCCTGAGGCTTTGGATATGCCATTATCTTAGAAAGCCAACAGTGAATTCAGCCAGTCTGTCTACTTTCCATTAAAAAATGAACCTATTTGTGAGCAACAGTGTGCATTTGAAAGGTGAGGATTGAAGTGCAAGCTATGTCATTCAACACATTTTGGTATATTATACACGACGTTAAACTTCCAATAACACAACCATTTTTGCGATTTGTGCAGCTTAATTATTTAGAACGATATATCCATGCTGAAGTAAATAGAAATGGAGAGAAAGTACACATCCTCTCTCTAACCGATAACACAACACAACCTACTGTATCCACATCTAGGTAACAAATCAATGCAGACAGATACAACAGCCACAAAGAGTCGAGCAAAATTATCTACAACCTAGTAAAGTTAACTACTTTAAAATACTCTATGGACGACAGAATGCGCTTAACAAACCAAGTGAATAGAGAATATTTGCCCATACAGCCCTGTAGATTTTTGTCTGAATCACCCAACATATAGACGAATTCAATTAGAATACAAGTATTATCCAAAGTGCTATCAAAATTTATCCTGCTATACGAGTAAACCAAGAAGAAACACTTACTCATTGTTAAGTTCATCAATATATTGTTTCTGAAATGTTGTTACAGGTAGAATATTTGAAACTGAAGAATTCTTTTCATTGTAATGATCATGTTGACTGTCGAAAATTCCATTCACGGAATCTGATTTATATTTTAAATTGACTGATAAAGAAGAATGATTTTGATAAAGTATATTAATTCTAGATTTTAACTTTCTTTCCTTGTCTTTATAATAACTACCTTCCACATCAGGTCCAGATGTAGATGATGGTGAAGATGAATTACCTGTTATACGCGAAGAGATACGTTGAGCATGCTTTTTACGCGCTTGATGATGCTGATGGTGATTATGATTGCTGACATCTTCAGTAAGTCGTATTGAGGCTTGTACAGCAGCAACAATATCAGCTTCAGCCATGTGAGGTGGTGAGACATCTTTACTAAGTGTTGTCGCTGAAGTTATTGTTGTTGAAGTCACCGTTAATGGAGAGTCTACTTTTGCATAACGTGGACCTCTTATTATCTGAGACTGATCTTCCGATGTATTCGTATTTGATAGCTTTGTAAAGGAGTCAATAGCTTGGGTTGCTAAAGTTTTCTTTTTACGATTTACTCGTGTAGTTTTATCTGGAAGCTGACTTGTCGTTTTTGATAAATTTATAGTAGGCAGCGGTTTTCTGAAACAAAATGAAATATTTCAATATTCTTAACTAGATGTCCTGTGATAAGTTGTTTGATCTGAAACGTCTTTATATAATGAGTACGGTTTGTTTGAAAATATCTGATAATTATTTCATTATAGTAGTTCATAGCTGTTGACAATTACTAGAAACTTAATTCTTTATGAGATTTGTGGGATTATACATACGTCGGGTGTTTCTAAGCTCATACAGTTCTAATGAAAATCACTTCTGAACGATATTCACCACTTTATACATTTCAATTAAGTAAGACTAGTTGTACATATCCAAACCAAGTTCACTTTTAACAGTTTGAAAAAATTTGGGCATTCATTATCATAAAAGATTTTGTATTTCCCAATGGATGAAAAACAAAACGATTTGGTTTTACTGAAGTTTCACTATTTAATGCTAGTAGCTTTAGCAAACTTTTATAAAACCAGAATTTACAAAATTTCAGCTTATATACAAAACTTAATCATCGTTCACCAGCATGGGGTAATTTTCACGTTGTCAAGCTGGCCAATTGCTAGAGATAATAATACCATGAGTAGATTGTTGGATTTGATAAGTGTATACAATTATAAGAGCAACATGTGTTGACATAATGGAATTGCTTATCTTATTCGTGTTGGCTTTGCCATTTCGTCGCGCAGGAGGCAGGGTGTTGCAACCAGGTAAAATTCTGTTTTATTCCATCATTCCTATTCGGACAATTGGGATTCTATTTGACATGAGGTGCTTCTGATGTTAGACGGTCTTTGACGTTTATGAAATTTTTCTGGATTACTTCAATATTGTCAAAACAATTTTGTGACCTGATGATTTTTCCAGCTCTTCTGGTTCAACTGGACTTCTCGGTGGTCGAATAGATGGCCATTGGGAAATACAAAATCCTTTACAATTACACAAGACTACTCAACTAATTCTCATAGTTTATCCATGAATTTTCCCGATATGTTAGCTAGTATATTTCGTTACCAACTGACATTAACAATCGACTTTCATAAGCATTTACATGGCATTTCAGAACACCATATAACTAACTGTACAGCTTTGATAAGAAGTTACGCAAAGAATATCCTCTGCTGACTTATGCCTTTTTAATTCCATATTCGATAAGTTTGTTTCATATAATACACACAGATACAGTACCAATGAATGGATGAGGTAGCGACCACAATTTGTTATTCATAAGCATATCTTTGTATTCTATTCACACGTCTTCGTAGTGTGCTTCGTATGGTCTTTTAATTCCACTTGTTTCGTTTGTTTGTTTGTTTTTGGTGGAAAGTTCCATGTGTCGAGTTCAGTACTGCACCATCTTTGTTTTATTGTATTTGATGTTGACTCGATGATTCAGATGAATTACAAAAGAGGTTAAACTAGATAGATTATCGGAACAGAGGAGTATAGCCTATGCATATAATTTTATACGTTTGGTTTTCAACTGATATTAATAATTGACCTCAAGTGACGTTTCCAATGGCCTATTAGAAACACCATTTAACTAAACAGTTTAGATAAGAAGTTACGGAAACAGTATTGTTTAAAAAAGATTCATTTCACATGGATAATGTATATGTTAACAAACAGAGTTAACTCACGATATTACTTTAGTATTTTTTGATTCACCGATTGGTAATGGTTTTGATAAACCTAGCTGAAAAGAAATAAGTAAGCTTTTAGAGAAAAAGTTGAATAAATGCATATTTAACGACAGGGACTTCAGAAATACTAGAAAACATGTGAAAGATTAGCTTCTATAGAATCACATATCAAAATAAAGTGCAATCGATTTCGTTTTGCTGCATATACTATCACAATTACAAACAATCTATAATTTTGCTTTCTTCAAGGTTCAAAAGATGTGACGTAATTAAGAAGATATAATTCAGCAAGATAGAGATCTCCTTTCTCAGCATCACTTAGCTGTTTATTTATTTAGGGGTTTATATATATACAATGTTAAGTGTCAATAAAAGTCAGAGGTTAGTGTTAGTTGATCAGTAACAGAAGCAAACCAAAGTATATGAGAAATATCAGTCTGTGAAAAAGTGAGTAGTCTTAGGCAGTCGCGAAGAACGGAGAAGGCAACCTCAATGTGCATTTACCAGTTCAATTGTTTTTGTTGAGTTAGGTATATTGGTAGTACCAGAAAGATATTGTCTAGACGTGCCCACTAACACTTACCACAATGGTTGTCTAAGGAGGAAAGCGCTGAACAGCCGACAACTCAATTTTGGAGCACATTATAAATTACCGTCATGCACCACATCAGCGAGGACTTCATTTAAAGTTATATAAATAAAGTAAAGTAAAGTCAGTCCAGAGAATTTCGTTCACTTCTTTATGAAGCCGAAGCTTTAGCGATCCGTAAGGAAAAACCTGGACTTTGTATACCGAAACGTTTTTATCCAGCCTTAGTGTCAACTGTTGTGCGACGAAAAATAGATGTAATCCTTTTATTTTTTATTTTTCTAACACACCTTCAATCCGTTGTTCTCCCGTTTCCTACCAATTATTCCAAAATGATCATTGATCATTTCACAAACTGGTTGTTAATTACTGTAGATTACGTAAGATTATTGACTTTTTTCACACACTGACATTTCTAGTACGCTTTGATTTATATTTTCCAATTTTACAAAAAAATTATGTTTTTTGCTAACTTGTGTTCTCAATTTACTTTTGAAAAACCGGTAACTTAACTTATAACACAACAGATGCTGACTACCTTTTCTTACAATTACTTATTTTTAAAATAACTTAAAAAATGCATTTATCTTTTAGACAGCCTTTTATTTTCAGAATAAACAAAGTGCTTAGCAAACTTGATCGTAGGTGCTAATATGACAGGCACTGTGTATAAAGTTAACAATACCATTGGGTCTTCCATAGACTCCAGTTCATCATCTTTGGATTAAAAGGTTAGCAAATATCTAAACGACTGGATATATCTATTGGAAACAAAGTTACGACCTCATACGACCTTAACTCCAGCCTTCCTCTCGAAAAGCCCTCATGTGAGCACGCGTTCCTAGCCTCTGTCAATTAAGTCCTGTTTACTGTCTTCACGTCTCGCATGTGTTCCTCACAAAAGTGAAAGGGCGAATTCAAATACCTATCGCTTTTGTCTCCACTGGTGGACATGCCAATCTACCTAGGAGAGATGGGAAACCCTGATTCCAAACCACTGGTCTACATGAGAGGCAGACTCGGAAAGGATAGAATGGCGTGTCAACATATTTTGGTCACCAGAAATCATGAGAACGTAGCTCCTGACGCTGGTTCACTGCCTTGTGGATCTGGCTTCGAGTCTAAGGTTCGGGTAGTGGTCTCTTAAGTCAATCACGTGCTTTGGTCTGGCCGTCTGGGCAGTATTCCAGGCCTCACACATACTGAGATTTAGTACAAAATTCGTGTTTTAGTAATAATATAATAATACAGCAAGATAGAATTGCTTTTGAACCAGACTGAAATGTTGAACTCAACAATATCATGACGTATCGATACTCGTGGGTATTATATGTGATGAATTATACATGTATCCTGTATTATTTGTATTGTTTCTGTAAATTATGTGAAGTCGTTTTCAAATCGATGATTTACAATCTCAGTTAAGAAAGGTACGATATTTTGTCTTGAAATTAAACATTATTTCAGGATTTATCACTCTAAAAGCGGTTACAGTACTAAAGTTTACTATGAACTTGAATTACGAATGATTACATGATACTTAATTAGAATTTCGAGAGAAAAAGGTAGTCAAGAGAACTATAATGATCAGAAATGTACTCAAGAAAGAATAATTACATGGAGAAAAATGAAGGTTTAATGGATGCAGGAGATCACATAGAGTGAATGTATCTGTGCCACTGATGACGATTTTGAGCCATATCACCAATAGTCTCCAGTCATTCATTTTTAGTATCCTAAAGACCCCAACCACATAAACACTTTACACCTCCCTATGTGGCTCAAATCAACTGCAAAAGACTTCATAAACTGATCCTAGACTTTGGTTTCACCCGATATCGGCCTACGTGGCTCGTCGAGGAGGTTGATAGCTCGGCATGAGCAACACGTTCCCTAGTCCTCTCCATCATTAACTTGCTCTGCTTGTCTAATGCTCTACACGTCACTTCGATATTGTTCCCCACATCATAGCACATAATACGGTGGTCAAATGCAGCTAGCCTAGTCAAATATTCCAATTCCAATGGTCATGTCTCACAGTCATAAAGAAGGATAGAGTGAACTGCGGTGCAGTCACAAGTCTTCTGATTGGTAGGTGCATACTGCGTTCACACGCGAGATGATAGAAGTTGCGAAGTGTTACATGAGCGTTTTGTATCCGAACTGAGATTTCGTCATCTGTTCGTCCATTAGGGCTGATGCAACTTCCCAAATAAGTTACAGTTAATAGGAAGATAACAGAATATGTCAATTTAACGAACATGCACAGCGGACACAATTTAAGGTGAGGAACGAAACTGATAGAAACTCTAGCTGCAAGAAATTATCAACAGAAGTTCATAAAGAGATATAAAACAGTCATAACACCAAGACCACTTCTCTAACCCGCTGCTAAGGATGTATGTGTCACGTGACCCTACATGCGCCATCATACCAATTTGGCACTTAGGCAAAGTTTGAACACTACGGTTAAAAAAGACTTTTATGTAGCTAACATCCGTATACCTGAAGAGTGGAGCCTATTCACCAAGCCCTTCGAACATAGGAAAAGTGATATCACTCTTAGAAGACGGAGATTACCTGAAAAATGTGATGTATATGCGCTATAAATCAAATGAACTGTGGTCAAGATTTGACAGAATAGTTCTAAAATATTTGGGCGTCGAGTGAGAAGTAGACATTTGTAAAAAATTAATTTGTAAAATCTCAGCGATATTGAAATGAGTAATTCCAATGTTTCGTTCGGTAATCTGGTCCGAACTTCATTTCAATATCGCTGAGATTTTACAAATATAATTTTTTACAAATGTCTACTTCTCACTCGGTGCCCAAATATTTTAGAGCTATTCTGTCAAATCTTCACTACAGTTCATTTGATTTATTTTACAATCGAATTAAATTAACAAAGAAACTATGTAATTGGCACAATCATCGTGTTTCCACTCTCCGTTGTCTGCAACAGAATGCGTATCCTAAATCCGTAGCTGTCCAGCCACCTGACAACTCCAGTAGGTCGAATAAAGCAGATCAATTTTCAGAAAGAAGAAAAAGTAATAAGTTTGATGGGGTGCTTCAACTAAACTCTAATCCTAAACACCATAAATATAAAAATACGTCTAATCATAAAATTCTAGATACTAACAGTTTGAACCGACATGAAGGTGTGATGTTAGATGACGCATAGGAAATCCTGATCAACAAATAAGAATGGATATGTATCACTAACTAATAATACTTGGTCAAAGTTCCTGACTGTCTATTACTACTTATGGAGACGTTAAGACATTGTTTTACAACTGTTTATTCGCACACACACACATACACACTGTTTAAAGTGTTTAACAAAGGTAGATCAATATTTGCAAGTCTGAGGTCAAATTTTGTTCACAACTCGTACAATTTTGTTTATTATACTTGTTATTACTTGTTTTATGAATCATGATTGGACAAAGTTTTTAGGAACAAAAGATGTTCCTTTTATATATAAACCTGTTATGTTAATTTCGATTAATTTCCCTGAAGAAGTTCGGACCAGATTTCCAAACGAAACGTTGGAATTACTCATTTCAATATCGCTGAGACTTTACAAATATAATTTTTTACAAATGTCTATTTGCGCTATACATTTCGAACAATCTGATCACACATTTACTTGTCAAGTCATTATATATGGAAAAGTTAGATTAAACAAAGTGACAAAAAAAGAATTAAGAATAATTAGCACAAACGTTTGGTAATCCAATCAAATAAGGATTACCAAGGTAGGTTAAGAGTAATAACAAACTGTTTTTTGAATACACAAGGGGGGCTTAAGTCTATGAATAGCTATAGCTTCAGAATATTTCAGTAAACGCCCTTGACCGTTTTTATAGATGACCTTAAAGGCTGAGTTAACATCAATCTTATGGTTCATCTCGACTAGATGTTTAGCTGTAGACGAAGTTGGTAGTCTAACACCTGCATCTATTGGCTTGTCACAATTCATCTGTTTTTCTAACCATTTTGGGATATGCTCTCCCACCCTCACGTGCAAAGCACGATTACTCCTCCCTATGTATGTATGTCCACACACAAACACACACGAAAATTGGTAAATTGTATGGGAAGGGATATAATCAATTGTGCACTTTTGAGGTTTGCAGTGAAGCATATTTTTAGCTCTTTCCACAATTATAAGCTGGGCTGCATAGTAAGTTCTACGGATGATCGAATTCAACCTTTTTCTCAAAATCCTACTGTTTATTTCCCGTTATATGGTAATTTGATGAAAACCTTTTTCTTAGGGACGGTATGGATTGTAGGTTTAGAGGCTAGTTGACCTGTTTAAAAATTTTAAAGGATATCCGTTTTCAACAAGAGTGTCCATCAATATTTCGTTTTCTTTTTCTATAACACCCGTGCAAATATGCTGAATCCTCTTAAATAGACACTTCACCAAGCCTCTCCTATACTGTAATGGACAGA